TTTTTCCGGCCACGGGCCGCAACGGCGATTCAGGACCTGCCCGGGCCAACACCACCTGTCGGTTGACTGTGGTGGCTATGGGGGCCACCGGGACCGGGTCCGCGGGCCGCCAGGACGAGCGGCTCTTGAGGGGGATGCATTGCCAAGGGCGCGACGAGACGGGGCCTGCCCGGGCCGCCGCCACCCTCCGGTTGACTGCGGCGGTTATGGGGGCCACCAGCACCGGGCTCACGGCCTCACCGGACCGGCAGGTTCCCTCGGGGCTCCATCGGCGGCTGCGGCCGCGGCGGCCAGGAGCGACGCCGCTCTCGGGGCCTGCCCGGGCCGCCGCCACCTTTCGGTCGACTGCGGCCGTCATGGGGGCCACCAGCACCGGGCTCGCGGGCAGACCGGACCGGCGGGTCACCTCGGGGCTCCATCGGCGGCGGCTGCGGCGGCCGTGGACGACGCGGCTCCGGGATCGGCGGCCGGGGCGCCCACCACCGGTGGCGGCGAGCGAAGGTCGGTGCGCCACGTCGCGACGTGGACTTCTCAGAAAGGCACGGAGCCGCCTCGCTGTTATGTCTCGTGGCATAAGTGGTCGCAGCAGCGGCGCCCGCGGCCAGGGGCACCATCAAGGACGGTGCTGCCAGTGTTTTTGGGCCGCACTATGGACGAGGAGGACCGGGAGGCTCAGGGCGTCTGTTTTGCCCCGGATCCCGGTGCCGTGTACTGCGGCGTTTGCGGCACGTTGCGCCTCCACGAGGTGCATGAGGCGTGCCGCTACCACCGCGACCGGGTCCGGGGAACCACGCCGAGCGCCAACCCCACCCCGACCGACCTGATCGCCGCCCTCGACCAGCCCGGCGCCGTGGAGGCGGTGCTGGCCTACATGACCCAGAGGCCAGGGTTCGCGGCGGCCGTGCTGGAGGGGAGCCTGCTGCAGCTCCCGGTGACGCCGGCAATGCCGGCAGAGACCGGGGACGCCTCGTCGGCAGGGGCGTCCTCGTCAACGGCGACGTCCACACCGACCAGCGGGGACCTCGGCTGCGACGACGGCGGTGAGTACGCCGACCTCCCGTCGGGTGACGAACTGATGCTGTTTTAGGCAGGAGGCGGCGTATGGGAACTCTGAGGGATGACGGGGTTGGCGATTGTTTATCTTTTTGAATGTATTTTTTTGTGTTTTTGCTTTTGTTTCATACATTTTGGGGGTATGAGAGCCGGCAACCCTTTCTTTCCCTAAAGGGGGGCCAACAGTTTTAAGGAGGGGGGAATGTGGGAGCCTCTGGCTCCCTTTCCCTGATCCGGCCTTCGGGCCGCGGGCGCGACGTCGGAAGCCACTTGGTTTCCGACCGGAGCGTACCTTATCGTGGCAAGGAGAGGCAGTCATCTTGGTTGTCTACTCTCGCCACTCCTCCGTCCGCGTCCCTCCCGCTGGGGGGGACGTAGGGAACTTCCCTTTGACGGGGCTGGAGCCGCCAGGGAGAGAAGGAGAAAGAGAGCGGGTCCTCTGGCCGCTCGGAGAAGGGACTGTTCTGCTGGACTTGAAAATGTTCGGACGTGCGGCCACGCACTCTGCTGCCCCACCTCCGTCCAGGCTCTCGGGAAAGTGCGGCAAGGTAAGGACAACCTCCCCCTTGCCGTTACTAGTCTTTATATCTTTGTATTTATCCGGACAAATAAACCCCGGGTGTCCCTCTATTCTGTGTGTCCGTGTACTCCCTTCGTGAGTCCCGGCTAGCGGGTGCAGCCAGCAGTCGAACCCGTCGTAGCGGTGACTCTGATCCGCTGCGGGGTGGTGGTTTCGCGGTCGGCCTCCTATCCGGATGCCTCGCACCCCTTTGAGACCTCCACAAGTTAAGAACTTCATTTTATAAGAGAGCAGTTTTGTTTCAGTGGTGGCCAATTTTAAAGACTGCTGTAAGAAGGCAAGTCTTGTATTAGCCTTTTTTAACGATATTGGTTACATGCACATTCCATCGAAGATCACTGGTAATAGTAACACCAAGGTATTTGTAACTCTCAACTCGTTCCAAAAGAACACCATCAGGACAGTAAGGGTATACTATTGGTTTTAGCTTGTGTGTGATGGACATACAGACCGTTTTTCCTATATTAAGTGACATTTGCCATTTCCTGCACCATTCCTGAATTTTATGTAGAGAGGCGCTTATTAGATTTATTTGGTCAGACGCAGTTATGACATTGGTGTTCAAAATACAATCATCTGCAAAGAGCCTAGCTTGCACAGGTATGTTTTTTATAAGATCATTTATGAAAATCAGAAAAAGTAGGGGCCTGAGAACTGAGCCTTGCGGTACCCCAGAGTAAATGGCAGAAGGGTCCGAGTTGCAATCTTTAATACTTACACATTGCTTTCTATCGGAAAGAAGTCCCTCGATCCATCCTAGCAGTGTTTGATTCTTTAACATAGGACTTAGTTTGCACATTAATTTTGTATGGTTCACTTTATCAAAGGCATTCTTAAAATCTAGGAAAATGATGTCGATCTGCCCTCTACTGTCTAGTATTTTAGAAAAGAGATGTACTACTTTCGTTAGTTGCGTAAAAGTGGACAGCCCCCTTCGTAATCCATAATGGCCACAGTTAAGTAAGCCGTGCTCAGCTAGAAATATATGAATATGCTTGGAGATGATGTTTTCTAGTATCTTAAAGCAGGTTGTTGCTAGGGAAATTGGTTGATAATTTGATGCACTGCACGGGTCTCCATCCTTAAATGACCTTACTGAATCTCCAGTTGCTTGGAACTGACGAGCTATCGAGCGATTTTTTGAAAATGAGATATAGGTACTTCGACGACCATTCAGCATACCTTTTCAATAACGAAATTGATATTTGGTCACGTCCTCCTGCCTTAGTTAGATCGATATCAATTTCGTATTTCCAGGGGTGAGACAGGTGAAACAGGTTTTGGAGCAATTTTTGGAGCAGAAAAATCTGGATTTTGGAGCAGCTTAGGAGCACAAAATTCTCGTTTTGGAGCAGCAGTTTATACATTTTGGAGCAACTTCGAAGCACAAAAGTCTACAGTCTGGAGCAGAAAATGTTAGAGAAGCTTATCAGCAACTTACATCATAAGAAATCTGATTAAGTCACATAAATCAGATTTTTTCTTTATTAATCGTTATTTTTGTCCACCCTGGTTACAATAAGTCGTCAGCGCCCATACGCACCAAGATAAAATATAAAAGCAAAAAAAAAGGAAAAGGCAAAACGCGAGTTTCTCGCGCATAGATGAGAACAGGAAACACAGGCTTTGCTGCAAAGTTAGGTGGGCACCAGTTACCTCAAGCTTATACGAACTTCTGCCAAAAAGTGCAATTGTAGTGCAAAACTTTTTAAAGAGGTGATTCAAGAGCATGAACAGGGAAGCATGGTTTACTACAACCAGACATCGATCGGGCGCTCGTAGAAAGCACGTGCCGATAGAAAAATACTCCCCACAAAAGTGATTCACAAGGTAAATAGTGAATTAGTAGAAAAACTATGAGCGCCACATGCACGTTAAATACGGGTGTGTGACCGATTGATTCGATTGCTCACGCACTGGAAGCACGTGTGTGATAACCGAAAGTACTCACGGCGACGGCGCCGTTCATTTTGCTGAGATTACGGACACGAATGAACAATTACACAATGGAGGCGCTCAATAGCACTTTTAAGCAAAGGTTTGCTCTCAAAACGAAAGAAATACTTAGGTTTGCTCATCTTGATAGACTGTGCGTCGTACCTGCCGCGGCCAGACAGCGAGACCGCGTGACAGCGCACCGTTACCATGCAGTCACAAATGACAGCGGAAAGTAGTAGGAAAATCGTGAAAAAACCTCTCATAGGTATAGGAGGGTACAACAGCTGAAATCTTCGAATCCGGTGGTTGCTTGCGCCACCCTGTAGTACCCGTGCCGTGTTTTTACTATGACGAGATTGAATGTTGCCAACCAAGCTATAGTTTCCCGCTAAATCTAGCATCGCCCCCAACATTTTTTTTTTTTTTTAGTTTTTGAGTTACTTTGGCGCAGTGTGGCGCGATTTCGACCGATTTCGCATTTTTGGCGCAATTAGGCACAGAAAATTTGGTTTGTACCATAATGGCGCAATAGGCGCAGATGTCACACCCCTGTATTTCGATAACGACATGTGACAAAAATCCTTCCTCGGATAGTTTCACATCAGCAATTGGTGGTATCGTGGTGAACTCATTGAATTCGGGTACCTTGCCATCATCGCAAGAAAATACTGTGGAAAAAAAAGCTATTAAACGCGTTTGCTATGTCGACCTACAACCTGGACATTTACTAGAAGTTTAGACACTGCAGATTTTTGTGGTGAAAGGTGCTTCCAAAACCTTTTTGGAGAATGCTTGAGAAACCCTGTCATGGTTACATTAAAAAAGTGGTACTACTTGGCCTTCTGTATCACCGTCTTCAGATCTTTACTCAAACATCAACTTATCACGTACTGACGCACCCTGCAAACTGCGAAATCGATTTCCACACCGCGAAACTTTGTTTTTGATGCATTTTCTCTGCTAATCCACAGATTCTTACTGTGGTTTCTTCTCACTTTTTCCAGGAAATACTGAGTATTGCAGCGTGTAACTATCTTTTTAAATGTCAACCATAATTGATCAACTTTTGCTTTAGATCCCAGACTAATCTGCTGGAAGGCGTCGTATGAAGCGAAATGAATGAATCTGGGTTATATAATAAAGAACAAGGATTCCAAAAAAACGTATAGCCCTGAATTTCGCAAAAAAAATTTTCACGACCCCTTTAACGTGCACTATGCAGTAGTGATATGCGACCGCAAGCCGGCACGAGGCTCATCTAGACTGCAACGGGCACGGGTAGGGATTGAACCCAGAATCTCTGGGTTCTGCAGCGCAAGCTTCAGCTCCATGTGCTCCGAGCTGTGGCACGCTAATAAACACAGTCGGCCACCGATGAGTGAGGCAGACCAGTGTTTTGCGAGAGTCAAAATGTACATGGCACACTCACCATTCCCAAGCAGGAGGGCTTCTCCGGGTGTGCAGGACGTAGTGTCATTCACCGATTTACAGTGTGCCTGTTTGACGTTCGGGTCCTGGGAAATTGTTTTCATTTGTAGAAAGATGCGTACTCACTTACTTTGTTTCAGCACAAGTTGGCAGAAAGGGGGAACTACTGCCACAATGAGCCAATCAGAGGGCTGGAGTGATACAAGTGACAACATGCCAATGGAATGTGCTCCTGTGGAGAGCAGCCACTGCGTGCTGTGCTGCAACTTTTGTCTTCTGCAAAGTTATCTTGAAACAACCTATACATTCCTTGCACGTGATGTCGCGCTAGGGAGGGACGGGGGGAACCTACACCATGTAGGTGGTTGACTTCGCATTGCGCGTACGTGCCTACCAAAGCGTAGAATGCCGCCAACTGCTCGGAGATGGGATGTTTCTTCCGTCTCGTAGCTCCTTGCACAGCATCGAAGACAGAGAGCACAATCTTTACGCTTGCCAAAAGCATAGAAAGGCCTTCACGTGTGATCCACAGGAAAATGTGGTCACGGCCAAAGCCGGAAATGCAGCTTTAACTTTGAGTTTTGACACGGCGTGGCGCCACCTTCGCGTAGGGCTTGGTGTGCATTCATGTAAACGTTGCCGCGTTGGCTTCCTTCGAAGGATGATTCGAGTCGATGCGCTGAAGTTGTATTCATGTAAACGTGGCTTATGTTCGATATAAGCTTATACCAGCATATTTGCTCACTTCCTATTCATTTACTTTTTTAGCTGGGTAGCTCTGCTCCATACCAAATCAGCAATATTAATCAAGAGTTCATAAGAATATGCCCTATATTGAACAGAGACAGGGAACACTGTACTCTACACCAATAACTTTTCTTACTGGCATATTTGTTCATCTCACAACCAAAACGGCTCACCAACATCACAAAACGAGACTTTTGGCCACCTGAGCAATCTTCTCCAGTATCGAGCCCACTCATAAACGAGTCGTTTTGCCCCTGGTTGGGAAAGGTCAGAAAATGTTGCCGACAATAGATGTCTAGTCCAGCGATCAAAGCTTTGGTCTAGCTGTGACTTGTGTTCGTTGAATGTACGTGTCCTCCCCAAAAAATTTAGTTTTTTTCCACCGGAACAATAAACTATGCATCGCCAAACGCTCATTCTCTGCTCAAATGTAGCTCTAGCAGCTGAAGCTAGATGCCAAAGTTTCAGAACTGTTTTCTCAGTCAAAAGCCATAGGTAAGGTTCCGTGTTTTTGTATAAACCAGAAAAACACTCGCCGGTAAACTTTTCGTCCATTTGGATTGATCAGATAAATTCCGAATTTATCTGATCACACAGATAAAACAAATAAAAGACGGTATTTTACAATCAAGTTTGATCAGTGCAAAAGGGTCAATGGTCCTGGGAAGATTCCACGACAGTTATCTTTCAAATCTAGGACCATTGTCAAGAGGTCTTACACTTATCTCGTCAAGGTTCATTCAGGACAATGTTTCATTGTACCGTGCGCTTGTGAGAAATCAAAATACGGCTTATCGCACCTAAAAATAAAGTGGACATTGTGGGGAGCTCCAACCCCGTTAAAACATTGCCGCAGCCGTTCGAGCAAGATGAGCAAGATGCCAAAGTTTCAGCACCAACCGTTATCTTATTCAAAAGTAATAAGCGATTTTCTGAAAATTTCAATGGAAGGATGGTGGCTGACGGAGCTCTCAAATACATGCTCTATGGCGCAAGAAACCGAAAACGGGCGAAAAAGGGCCCCATTTTTCCACTGAAAATTTCAAAAATCATTTATAACTTTTGAATAAGGTAACGGTTGGTGCTGAAACTTTGGCATCTTCCTCGAGCGGCTGGTGCTATGTTCTGACAAAGTTTGAGCTCTCCGCGACGTCTAGTTTATTTTTGCAGCGCGAAAAGCCAGGTTTGAATTTCTCACAAATACCCAGTACTTTTGGGTCATGACAATAGCCACTGTTTTGGTTTCCAGTTTGGACCATACTATTTGTGCTTTGAGAGGAAGGAGAGGTTGTATTGTAACAGTGAAAGCTATGGACTATATAGAGATGGCATAAAATGGGGAAGAGGGGCAGTTGATCTTCTCTATTAAATCCTTTACCACCCCACATCGCGCGGCTGCGGGGTAGGTTTATGAAATGAAATGGGATGAATACGAGCTTCCCAGCGACCACCTCCGGGAGTTTTTTTATTTTATGGTGTCGACGTTTATCAAAGCAAAAATTGTGCGCAACTTTTCTCGCGGGCCAAATTAGTATTGGCAATGGCATCAACATCAAATCCAAGTAAAAAAATAATTGATACAAGTGCTTTTTTTTTTTATTATCTAGCATAGATTTACACTCGGATATTATTTACTTTTAATAGGAAACAATGCGAAATTAAACTCTGAATTTCAGGGAATTGGGAATTGAACAAAAACAAACTCTGATAAACTTTGAATCTATGGCAAAAAATAAGCTCAGAAAAACACTCTCTGAATTTGACAAAGGAACAATCTCAGAAAACATGAAATTCTATACTAAGTTACAGGTCAAGAAGGTAGCGGTAAATTCCCCTCAAAGGGATTCAGATATTCCTCTGCCACCTCCGCATACAATAGCATACCATCGTTTCCGTGACGTCGCGGCCAACGCGGGAGGAGGGTCTTGCCTTCCTGTAAATATTTGCCTTATCTTTTGACTTTAATTTAGCGTTGTGGAAGCCACGAGAGGGAGACGAGTTTTTCCCCCTCCGATGGACACAAATCCGACTTTCGGGGGTTAGGTTCCCCCTCTGATGGATACAAAGGCTACTTTCATGGGATCGGTTCCCTGTCCGCTGAATACAAAGGCCGCTTCCTTAAAAAGTGGGTGTCAGAGACAAACCGGCATCACTCTGTAGCCAATATCTATCCATTGAAGTGCAACAAGGGGCGTCTCCAGTGAACTATTCTTTCGACTGCGGAGGGATTTGAAATGGGCACATCACGCTTGTGAAAGGAACTTCGCTTACCTTCTTGACTTGTAACCGACTATAGTTATACGTGATTTTCTCAAAATTTTAATGGGAAAATGGGTCCAGTTTATGCCAGTTTTGGGTAACTGGCGCTATTCAGCTCCATGTATTCGAGATTTCCATCGGCCGCCCATTCTTACCTAGAAGTTATTTATAACTTTTGAATAAGATAATGATTAGTTCTGAAACTCGGGCATCTGGTTCGAAACGCTAGGAAGAGCGTTCGGTGACGCATAGTTTATGTTTCCGGTGAAAAAAAACTATGTAAATCTATTTCTTATGGGACATCTATGTCTGGTGTGAGCAGTGCAGATAAAGACAACAGGAAGCTTGCGCATGTGTAAAGTAAGAGCTAACTTCTCTTTTTTTTCTCACCTCGGGGCACGTCTTCATATGTTGGTTCGGGGTGATGATCAGATTGGTGGTGACGAAAAACTGCCCGCTTTCCTATCAAAGTGAAAAAATGACATGTCAGACACTTATCAAAGACAGGTGTAGAGCGGTCGCTTGCCGGATGAAATCTAATCTGTACTCGCCTCAGGAGGAACAACGATGTCAGCAATGTCATCATCATCATCATAATGCCTTTATTTGTGCCAATTAACAACCAACAAAGGTCTACAATGTGGCACAGTGAAAAAAAACAAATTGCACAACTCTAAAACATGCTCAACTGATAAAACTAGCATGCAACAAAACACGACAGTACATTTTTAGCGACGGAAAATAATCTCATCTAATTTTCTACTGAGATTTACGTAGCTATCAAAAATATCAAACTTTTCATGCCCAAGATTGTTTACACTTGTCTGCATTCTTGTTGTTGGTGATGTCATGTGTTGATCGTGGGGATAAAAAGTGAGAGCTGTCCTATTTGAGCGAGTCGGTACGTTAAAGTTCACTGTGAACAAAAGTGTTGAGTCAATGTCCCCGTGAACTATTTTATACAAGAAGGCAACATTGCGCGATAATCTTCTGAGGGATAGACACTGTAGGCCAAATTTGTCGAGCAGGAGTTCATAGTTGTAAAAATGCCTTCAGCCAAGGTATTTGTCATAGATTATGAGCACAAAACGTCTCTGAACTGACTCTATTTTAGCTGCATCACATAGTGTCAGTGAATTCCACACCACAGAGCCAAAGTCTAGTCTCGATTTGATAATAGAACAAAATAAACGAACGAAACAAGCATAGTTTGCAAACTTTCTAGTTAACCGAGTAATCATTCCAAGTAATCTAAATGCAGAACAGGCAATATGGGCGACATGGCAGCCAAAGGATAGAGTAGTGTCAAAGTACACTCCTAGATCACGAAGCGATGATACTCTTAAAATGCACTTATCAATTGAGTAGGAATAGTGTATAATTTCATGTTTTTTACTGAAAGGCATGACCTTAGTTTTTTCTGGATTGATGATTAAGCAATTTTCCCGACACCAGTCTAAAATATGCGATGCGTCACTCTGAAGAAGGTCACAGTTGTCGATCAAACTAATACTTAAAAAGAGCTTGATGTTGTCTGCGAATAACAGCACGTTTGAGTTTACTACGCAAGTAGATATCTCATTGATAAAGATCAAAAACAATAGTGGACCCAAATTGGAGCCCCGTGGTACTCCCGATGACGGATAAAAAGGATCAGAGAAGTTATTTAAAATGCGTACGACACAATGACGGTCAGTCAGGTAGCTTTCAAGCCATAATAAAAGCACAGGAGAAACGCCATTACGTGACAATTTGTGCAGCAGCAAAGCGTGGTTCACCTTGTCAAAGGCTTTCGAGAGGTCAAAATAAACGACGTCAACTTGACCGCGATTACAAACAAAAGGCACTGAATAATGAAGGAAGGTACAGAGGTTTGTCTCGACTGAGCGCCCCTTGATAAAACCGTGCTGAAAAGAACTGATACAGCGCTTGAAATAAAAGGACAGACGGGTGTGCATCACTATCTCAAATATTTTTGAAAAAGAACATAGCAATGATACAGGGCGATAGTTCCCAACTTGCGAAGTATCCCTTGTATTATGAATAGGAACAACAATAGACTCTTTCCACAGAGATGGAAATATACCCTTACTCAATGAAATATTAAATATATGCTCTAAGATAGGCGCAGAAAGATTCGAGCAACCAATGAAATCTAATCTGTACTCGCCTCAGGAGGAACAACGATGTCAGCGATGTCCCAGACCTTCTTGTAAACAGACTTGTCGGACAGGAACGGGTAGAAATCGTCGTCGGACAAATTCTGCGTGGACAGCACCCCTTTTACCTTGGTGGTGGTGGCAGTGTTGAAGGAACTGAATTGCTGGTAGCCCTTCTTGTAAACAATCACGTAACTGCGGGAGAAAAAAAAAAAAAAAAGAGCAGCCACGTTGACAATTTGGAAGTAGTAGGGGGTAGAGCACTGCACGGGCCCGGACCAGCCCAAAAACCTGAGCCTGGCCCAACCCGCGGGCCAGGCTCGGGCCAGGTAGTACGCATTTTCTCGGGCCCGAGCCGGGCTTGGCATGAACAAAATATTTTTCGGGCCGTGGGCCGTGGCTGGGCAGTCGTGTGCTGCAAATTCTGAATTGTTGATAACAAAAAGATTGCTCAATGAAATGAAAACAAACAAGTGAAATGCAAAATCACTACAACAATGCCCCCCCCCCCCCCCCTCCCCTTCCTCTCCCCCCCTTCAAAAAAAGACGTCTTGCATTTCGAAAGCATTCATGTGGATAAAAGGAAACATATGGATTCCTCAAGCATAGTGGGAAGTGCAGTAAAAAAAAAACGAGGGCACTCCAGTCGCAGCGTACAACATAACTGGCTTTTCCCTCTGCTTTCCAAAAAAAAAAAGAAGAAAAAACGCGAGCTTGACTTTGCACTTTGTGCAGGGGGCCTTACTATGTCACCAAAGATAAGCTGACTACCATAGACAGTTTTATGCTCATACAGCCTTTTGGAGAAGCACTAGCGTGATTCCGATTGCTTCTTCACAAAAACATGTAGAGAGGAAAGTTATCTGTGAAACGAATTGAACAACGAAAGAAATGCATAAATAAAATATTTCCCACTTTTTTTTTTTCTCAAGATCGCTTATGAAGCACACATTTCGCCCCTATTCTTAAAAATACATAGTGGTCTAAATCAAAATATTTATCCTGTCAAAAAAAGAAAAAAAAAGCTTGGTTTAAGTTTAGACGAAATTTATATCAAAGATGCTCGCTTTATTCTTAGAAAGTTTTTACGTTAAAGCCTACAAGCTTTTTTGGGCTCATGTATAGGGTGACCCAAGTCTAGGGTTGTAAAGTACCTAGGTACAAGTAACTGGAAATCGGTATTTAGGTACTTTCGTTGTACCTGAGGTACAAACCTGGGTACTTTAATTTCTCGGTATCTGTATTTGTATCTTAGGTACATTTTCCAGTAACTTGTAACAAAGTGAAGCTACTTTTTACAGGTACTTTTCTATTCACTTCGTAAAAATGGTAGAAACTATAAATCTTGAAGTATTAACACATTACCATGTGCCGTGATTAACGTTGAGTTGGGTACGACATCAGAGGCACTGACTTGACTCTTTAAGCAAGTACCTAGGTGCGTACCTAAGTACCTTTTTGTATGAGTAACTGTAACTGTATCTTAGGTACATTTTTAAGTAACTTTTACCAAATACGATATAGCTTCGCCAATACTGGAAACTCCTTCGAAAACCTATGGGAGCGGCGGCGAACGTGATAGTGGCGCCTCTAGCGGACCCTGAGTCTACGGAAGCGGACAACGCAATGAAAAAGTATAGGCTCCGTGACGTCTTCGAGCTTTGCGAGCCCCGTTTCTTCACCCCAACAGCTGAAACAATTCATTACGGTCAGTCCGCTTGCAAAGCGGAATCCACTGATCGCAACTGCAACGACAAACAAATAACAATGCGCGCATGAACGAAGATAGAGCAGTTTATTTAGAGGTCTCAAACGCCGCTCAGGGGGATCACACGCGTTTAAAACGCATCTGGGAAGCGGAAAAAAGGCGTTTAGCCACTCGTACTACGTCGTAAGAAGTTACTGTTTATCCGTTACAAACTGCATTGTCACAATTTCTTACCTGAATAGGTGATTATTAAATCGTGCGCAAACAATATGTTAAAATTACCAGAGCAAGCGCACCAGCCTCTGCAGCATTACAAAAACAAAAAGTAACGAGAAAAATGACCATGCAAACACTTTCCTAACTTTGCAGAAAAGATGGGGTCTCCATCCCAGACGAAAATGAAAAGAAATGGAGAACAGTTGCGAACAGCGGCCGGCAATTGCAACGAAGAAGTTAGGAGACGATACAAAAATACAAATCACCCAGCAAAAACCTCCTCCAACGACGACGATCGCACGGGGCGCCTGTTGAAAATTAGCAGGTGATGCTCGCCCTCGGTGTTGAGTCTACAACGAGCAAAGCGGAAAATACACGACAAAACTATAAAAAAAAAGAGCTTAACTTCTTTTTTTTTCAGCTGCACGTTACACGTTTGTTTATTTGCTTTCGCGGCGTTGGTAGGAACTAAAAACAAAAGAGCTGCAATCCGCTCCCTGCTAGCAGTGTGTGACCTTTTTTGCTTTCCCTTTTCTTTTCCCAGTGACTTTGGGAGGTTGTTTGTTTGCTCGCTTAGTGCAGCAGTTCAAAAGTACATTCCAGTATTCTTGTTGGCGTACATGTCCAGTCAATCTTTGCACACCGTGCCTTTGTTTTGAGTCTCAATCACCGGCCTCAAGTGTGTTTTCAGCTGAACTTTTGTTTGGTGAAATATTCGTCTGTTGAGGCGTCAGTGGCGATTTTGAAGCCAAACTTGGAAGGCTGTTCCAGTTTAATTTGAAGTAACTTAATTACTCACGTTTGTTCGGACTTCGGGAAGCGGAAGAAGAATTTTCCACCACACATGAAAAACTGGAGATGGCAGGCACGTGGCACGACTGCCATCTCCAAGTATGCGCTAATGTATGCCCGAAGGCGGCCGGTTGATCAACCAACGATGACTCATAGCAGACGTGACCGCATACTCAAATAAAATCCAAAAAGAAATGTATAACGAGCTTACACTCCTTAATATATTTATTAAGTATCAAAAAGTACATATAAAGATTTCGGATCAGAAACCCAATCGAAGGCGAACATAGGAGGTTATCATAGACGGCAGTGGAAAAACAACAACAACAACAACAACAACAACAACAACAACAACAACAACAACAACGTTGCAGACAGCCCTCCAAATGTCCAGGCATAGCGTAGCAGACGAACCGGTGGTAGTAAGCGACGAAGCAAAGGAAAGTAAAAACTAAGCCAAACAAGGCAAAGCAAAATATGCGATGGTTCGAACGTCAAGTAAGCGCAAGAAAGAAAAAAGCAAGCAAAAAACATAAACGCAGGAGGAAGAACGACCGCGGCGGCGTAGCGTCGCCTCAAACATAAAAAGAAAGTAGACTATGAAAAGGAGGTGCACGATCGTCCATCGGCTGTTCTTTTTTGTAACTAGGCTTTTATTAGTTTCCGTAATAGCGTCAGATTTGCATGTGCACAATCGTCTTTTTCCAGAGCATACTGACATCGCAGTAGGGTACGTCGTTCGAAATTGCCCTTTGCTTCTTTATCCGGAGACGATCGGGATATAGCCAGCTCGCTATTCGACGAAACGGTTTTAAGCAATGCAATCATGAGAAATTGAAATTGCAACAACAAAAAGAACTGATCGATATGCACAATAAAGTTGAAACGTAGCAATGTTCTAAAACATTTCTTACATTACCCTTTTCAAAGAAACAGGGCGAAGGTACATTCGTGTCTTGCCTGGCAGACATAAGTTCTTAGTCTTCTGGCGGAATGTTTCTTCGAGAGAGCCCCATAATTGCACCCTACAAGCTGTAACATCTTTCCCTCGCGAAGAAAATGCCCTTGACTCATGAGGTGGAACCTACTTTTTAACATTCAAAGCAGCGAATAACCATGACAATTGTTTTTCATTGCTCACCTCGCACAGAGATAGGCAAAACCAATGCATTGTGGAGAATTTGTCTGCTAGCGGAGACTCCGAGCTCGCCAGGGGCGCTGCGATCACTTTTCGTCCGTGATCCGCGGGAGTTGCCAGTATTGGCTTACATGGTATTTGCTTTTACAACCCTGCCCAAGTCATCAGGCTCGATCTAAAATGGACCGTAAAAATCGACGCCTGAAAGTAGCAATCTAAACTTTTCGTCAAAGGTGTATTTCACAGGTCGGTTTTTAAGTCTAAAATTACAAAGTGTAGCTCTCTTTCTGTAACAAATAGGGTCAAGAAACTTGCCAGGGTCTACGGCGGGCGGCAGCGCAGACGACCAAGTCCAGTAGCGGGGCGTGTTTGGCGTTCGTATTGATAGATGGCGCTATCTCCTTATCGCAACGGCTCGCGACCACCGTAATTTATTAAAATGAACATAATCTTTTCGAAATGTACCTTTAGTTAAAAAATAAATGCGGACAATAAAAGCAAAACTTAAAGGGGCCCTGCGATCATATTTAAGCGTCTACCTTTTTTGCGGTTTCCATGTCTCTTCGGGTTCGGGCAAGTTAGCAGGCACGGAGAGAGTAACTAAATATCAGTGCGTCAAATTTTAACCGGACGACGTGGAAACCTCCTCTACCTACGGGGGCGGCCTGCGGTGCCGAAAGCGCGCAATATGTGACGACATCGTGATGTTTTAGGTCCTGGCCTTACTACTGGTCAGAGCCGCTAAGAGCTTCTTTTTAGTCAAAATACAAAATATAAGTGGCATGAGTCGTTTCAATTATTTGTAGCTTTTATTCAGTATTTTAGATCACAAAAGAAACAAATGCAGTTTATAAAGTACGGAAACAAGAAATGATCCGTCGACATACCCGCCACCAGGCGGTGGTTGATTGATTGATTGATTATTAGGTGTTTAATGGCGCAAAAAGCAACATAGGCCATGCTGCGCCAAAGAGATAATTAAAAGACTCTATAGTAGAAGGAAGGAATTACTATGCAATGCACTATGCAGAGGATCTATAACTGGTGCAGGTAGCCAGTTTTTTTAAGAAAATCTAAAATGTGATCAAAAGGAACTAAAGGTTCATCTCCCAGTAAGAAGACTGGATGAAATGGAAGATATCCAGAAAGTAAAGGAAAACTCGTCCGGCGTTCCTGATAAAAAAATTTGCAGTGCCATAGAATATGCAGTATAGTTAGCGATTCACCGCAATGCTCACAGACTGGGGTGTCCTCACCACAAAGAAGATGTCGATGGGTGATACGTGAATGTCCAATTCTCAAGCGACACATTAAGACTTCATGGCGACGGTCTCTATGGTG